AAAAGGAGAGGATTAGAAAATTGATTAGCGCATCATAAGGAACCTTCAACCTCCTCAGCCACGTGACTTAAACTCAAAAAAGAAGTTGAAGAAGTTACCCCTGGAACACTGCTCCTCACCCAAGGGACACCATGCAAATAGGGGCTTCCGCCATAATGAAGGGGATTTATAGAGGAGTCTACTGAAGGCACTTGTTAGGACAAGTAGGGGGCTGAAGATCGTAAGCCTAACCGCAAAGATCTGCCCTTGTGCACCCAATAAATACACTCTCTTCAAAGCCGAGGTGGCGTTAACAGGAGATTAATATGACGGAGGGAGCGCGCCAAAATTCCCCCAAACACGGCCATCCCATCTTCGCCTATAAATGCGACGGAGAGGTGTTCGCCAGCGGTCGATCTCGTTCTCGAGGCACGGAGTTGAAGGCGGGGTATTATTAGGGAGGCTGGGGGCAAATCTGGGTGTCCATACCAACGGCTTTTAAGGGCTCAGTTACAATTTTTGAAAATTAAGGGCCTTAGCCAGCATGGGCCAAACTACAGGGGGCTGGGCCACATTGTTTTTTCAAGTTTGGGGCCTTGAAGCAATTTTTCCTAATATGTAACATGATAATTACAACAATATATATTAAAATGTATCATGTTATAGTTAATATATTATATTATTTCAAACTATAGTATTATATTATATTATATCATAGTATTTTACTAATATTAGTAATTATTATACTATATTATAATAGTATGTCATATATATAATAACTATAATAATATTTTATAAATTAATTATATAATAATATATTATATAATAATATATGCTATTATAATATTACATAATATTATAATAAATATGTTATACTATAATTACTAATTAATATTATATAATAATATATTACATAATACTATTAATATATGTTATTAAAATATTATATATATGTTATTAAAATATTAATATATGTTATTATAATAATATATAATATTATAATAAATACGTTATACTATAATTACTATTATATAATATTATTAATATATGTTATTAAATTATGTTATTAAAATATTAATATATGTTACTAAAATATGATATAATATTATAATAAAAATGTTATACTATAATTACTAATTAATATTATATAATAATATATTACATAATATTATTAATATATGTTATTAAAATATTATATATATGTTATTAAAATATTAATATATGTTATTATATAATATTATTAATATATGTTACTACAATATTATATAATATTATAATAAATACATTATACTATAATTACTATTATATAATATTATTAATATATGGTATTAAATTATGTCATTAAAATATTAATATATGGTTATATTTTATATATCATGTCATATATTTATAATATAATTGCATGTATTAGTTAAGTAATACAAAAATATTTTAAAATTATCCTAATTATCTTCAAAGTGGAACAATATTGTTCCAATATGGAGGATGGGGTAAATTTTTACTATTGGGACATAATTTTGCATATGAGTGGGGTAATTTTATCCCAAGTGGTATAATTATCTCACTAGTGTTCCAAAAAACCAATAAAAATGTTTGTAGGGGAGTCGCCATCTTTTGTATGTAGAGAAAATTGTAAAGAAGAGAATAAAGAAAATGTGACTTTGATTCCTTTGATCTCGGTTACAACTTGATTACAAAAGAGAGGAAAACGAATTTGGTTTTCCCCTTTGTTTAAAACTGGGTTCTTCTTGGCAGCGATGGAGTGCTTCCTTCGATTGATTGCGTCGAACTTGCTCTCCGTTGACGATCCGACCGTCTTTATCTCGTGGGAACGATGAACTTTCGTGGAAAGTTTTATGAATAACTCTGAATGAGTTTAAGAACTCTGAACGAGTTTGAACTCTGTGAATAGAGTTGTTGGAACCGAAAATTCGGTTAATGATCAAGCTGTTTTTCTGTTGTCGAAGAATCCTCTCAGATTTGATCTTCTGAGTTTGATTCAAAAATCCTATCTCTAAGGATTTCGTTGCTGCTGAATCTCCAAGCCTGGGTGGTTGAGATCCTGAGAATCTAACCTGTGCGGTTCAGATGTCAAAAATCCAACCACTCACCCCTTAGTTTTTAAAGAGCCAGCCCCTTTAACCAACTCGTCTGGTTTAGATTCTGATGATCCAACCCTTTACTCCGTTGGGTTTGTTGAGCTTTTATAGGGGGATAGGAGATTGTAACTGACTCCTATATCCGCTCCTATGTGGGCGAAAATCCCTCAGGACGTGGGAAAAACGGTTTTGGAACCGTTCGACTCATGTTTGAGTGAGTCAAACGCCCAATCTGGCGTTCAGAACCTCAACTTCGTGTTCTTTGAATTGAGACGCGAAGTTGGGTGTTAGCTGAACACCATTGAACGCGAGGGTCGCTCACGTTTGGCTTGTGCATTGACGACGCGAGGGTCGCCTTGGCTTGACGACGCGAGGGTCGCTGTGGCTTGACGACGCGAGGGTCGCAAACTATTTGATTGTAGCTTTCGTTGTAGGAGCTAGACGGGAATCAACATCCATAGTGTCTTAAAGATGAATATTCGCCCATAGCTCTCTATCAAGCAACTCACCAACTGAGTCCAACTTTTTATTTCTGAAATCGTCCCACTGCTCATCAGCATCTCTAATAGTTGCTATGATATTAGCCATGCTGTTGTCACAGCCATCAAGATCAATCATCTCAGAAGTGAGGTCGCGTTTGTGGCAATTGTGGAGTTGTGGATGCAGTGATTGGGAAGTCGTCTGATTGTGACCTCCGTTGTCGGAGCTTGTTTGAATAAGCTATCTATTGTGATTTTTAGACAGCCTACAAACACAAAAAGGTATTATTCTTGTTCCGTTGTCCTAATGAATAACACTATGAAATAGAATCCCCAAAAATATCATATTATCCCCCAAAATATCCCAACCAATAACCCCCCCTTAGTTGCATGACTTTATTAGTTGGACGCGGATCACTCTTTTTTTAGATAGCAACTGTAGTTCCATGATATGATGGAACTGTTCAATATTGGGTGTGAAGTAATATTAGTGGTTTATATAGAGAAAAGCCCAAGACCCAATGGTAACTAATGCTAGCATTTTGATAGTGGATTTTAGCCAACATCGAGTTATTCTCGGTGATTCTCATGGCTTGCTCGCGCCAACGGGCTCGTGGGCCCGAAGTGTGATATTATAGACCACCCTCCATCACCAAATTCATCCATACCCCCTCATAGTCTTCCTTTATTTATTTTCCCTCACGATGGCCCTCACTGGCTTGATGAGCTCGACCTTTCCATCATTCTTTCCTACTCCTTCTCTATGTTCCTCTTTGTCCATCTTGTTGATTGCCTCTCCTCTTCCTCTAAGCCTTCTAAACGCTTACCTAAGATGATAGGGTGGGAGGGTACGCTCATGGTGGAGAGGGAGGTGGGAGAGGGAGACGGTAGGGTCGGCGATCTCACGATCATCGCCGCTTGCCGCTGCTCGAGCTTAATGATGGGAAATTTATTGCTTTTCCTCAACATCATGTTTATGAATTATGAGAGATGAAGGCTTGCTACCAGCGGTTCACTTGGGCTCCATTTTGATACTATGGTGGTTTATTTGTTTCTATAGTGTTTTTGCCAAAAATAAAATATCATGCGCTTGGAAACCATGACGTTTTTGAGCTAAATCATTCTCAAACCAAAAACACAGCACTTATTTCAAAACACCTTTTAGGTGTTTTAAGTTTGGTGTTTTGGTTTTGAGTTTGAGAAAATGTTAATATAATATCTAACATAATATATTAAATATAATTAATATAGAGTTATTATCAACATGCTTATGTTAGTATACTATACTATACTATATTATAGTTAATTTAATATATTAGTAATATTTATTAAATAATTAAAAATATAATAAATAAAATATCTTATATAATAATATAATAACATATTAAATACCAAATTTAATATGTTAATAATGTGTTATATAATAAATATAATGATAAAAATATAAATAAACTAATAAAAAATAATAAAAAGTTATTGATAAAAAATAATAATATAATAATATACTATACAATAGTATAATTGCTATAATATTATTAAATTTTTAATAAATAAATTGTAATAAATTAATAATTATAAAATATTATATAATAGTAACATATTTAATAATAACATAACAATATAATAATATTATTATAATAACATATTTTATAGTAAATGTAATATAATATATAAAATATTAATATATTATGTAATAAATAATATAATTTATTATAAAGTAAAATAAATTTTAATAATAAATAATTTATTGCTAATAAATGTTAATGTAAAAATAATATATTCATAATATAATAATGTTTATTTATAGGGAGAAGTGTTCCTAAGGTGACGTCTTAGATAATCATCTAAGGACGCGACCTAAAATCACATGATTGAGCTACATTATGGATGATCCGCTCCGTTAAACTTGATCTACATATTCTAAAACCTCAACACACCAAGCTTGGGATGAACCCGTCGTTGTTTGACTATTAATCCACTCGTATCAATTTTACGGAGGGTCAAACGACGATGGGGTCACCCCAAACTCGGTGTGTTGGGGTTTTAGAATATGTAGATCAAGTTCATCGCAGCGGATCATCCACAATGTAGCTCAATCATGTGATTTTAGGCCGTGTCCTTAGATGATCATCTAAGGCGTCACCTTAGCAACACTTTTCCCTTATTTATATCATAAATACTAATATATTATTAAAGTACTATTAATAAATCCTAACATATTAAAAACTATAATATATTATATAATATTAAAATATTTATAATATATTAATTTATTAATAACATACTAGTAATAACATAATATTAACTTATATAGTATAATAATGTAAACTAAATATTATAACATTTTATTTATAATATATTTTATTATAATTAATATATAAAATATTAATAATATGTTTAATACTAATGTTATAATGTGTCAAACTAGTGTTCACCAAAAATACTTATCATGGTGTTTTGAAAACATTTTAAGAGAAAAACACAACACCATGATATTTTTTTTTACAAAAACACAATAAAAAAACATCATGGTATCTAAACGAAGCCTTGATTATTATGTTCATGGGTTGGTGTTTGTGTTATACGGATCAGTTTGGGTCAACCCGAATTGACTCCTTTAATGAATAGGTTAGCTCAGATTGACCCATTTATGACTCAACGCTTATAAACGGGTCGGGTCAGATCGAATTGATGGTCAGGTCCTAAATTGCCACCCTAGGTCCGCCCCCATTAAAAATCCCAGCTGTTCTATTTCCAAAATCGAGAGTTCACTTGGAACTCGATCGAATTAGGAAAGCCTAGATCGCTGCGGGCGGTGGAATCGAAATCATCGAATTTGGTATTCAATTGATGCCGCAACGAGGTAAAACTTGTTCTGATTTTTTAAGAATCCTTTCGTTCTCTCTCTCTCTCCCCTTTAACTAGAAGCTCGTAAAACAATTGATGATGAAAATTCGCACGCTTTTAAAAACTTAGGAGACGTGATGAACAAGAAGCGCGTCAACCCATCAGGAGGAGATGAAGATGGCCCCAACAAGAAACAAGGAATCACTGGAAAGAAAGAGAACAAAACTCAGGTACTCATCATCTTTTTATTGTTCTACTAAATTGATGATGATAATTATGGTTTTAAAATTAAAAGATTTGTACGTAGAGCCTGCAACAAAAATTGAAACGGGTTGCTGCCGCCCATGCTTACCACTTGACGTTGTGCGTGACATTCTCTCAAGACTGCCTGCAAATTCAATTGCAAGATTCCGCTGCGTCTGCAGGCAATGGCTTTCTCTGACTTCGGATCCCCGTTTCTTGAAATTGCAGCACGAGAGATCTTCGAGCTGCATGCTTATCAGTAGGATTGTTTACAAGGGAGAAGTAAACTTGTTTGAGTTCAGAAACGGGTATAGGAGTTCGCATGGATTTAATCTCGGGAGAGCGCATTATGAGCTATCAAATTTTGTTGATGGTTTGATTTGTGCTTATTCGCGAACTGCTAGGTATGATACATACATATTAAATCCTATGATTCGGGAACTCCAGAAACTTCCAAAGAACAGTGATCGTCAAGAAGATGGTTTAAACGAAAGTTTTGGTCTAGGTATCGACGTGGCCATAAGGCGATACAAGGTAGTTAGGTTATGTTCTTATCCCGGAAGTAATCGTGTTCGCTGTGAGATCTATAATGTGGGCACTACACGGTGGAAGTCTCTTGGTGAAGCTCCTTTTGGATTCGGCGGGACTAAACCAGTTTTCCTTCATGGAGCCCTCCACTGGATTGTGTATGAATCGAGAGCTGATTTTGGATGGCGAAGAAAAGAATATGTGTTAAGAATCGATATCAAAGATGAGAAGTTTGGATCAGCAATATCAATCCCCTCTCCCACATGCCCTAAGATGTCGTTGGTATGTTTGAAGGAATCTGGAGGGAAGCTTTGGCTTGTATTCTCGAAATATGAGAACCCAAATGATAGTTTCTTTTGAGATATGGATTTTGAAAGATTACTTGAATAATACATGGGTCAGAGAGTATAACTTTCACCGCAGCAGCCTTTCAAGAATCCACGAGGATTATAGGGCTACATATTTTACAGATATTTTAGATGGCACGCTCAATGCTGCAGTCTGTGAAAGTGGAAAATGGTATGTCATTTGTTATAATTCTTGTACTGGAGATTTCCACAAGCTCTTTGTTGGACGACAGCACGGTAAATTCTCTGTTTATAGGGAAAGCCTTATTTCGCCAAAGAAGCTGTTGAAGAAACCTCAAAGGCGTATAAGGAAGGGCGGCGGAGGTGAGTAATGCATCTAAGGTATCTGGAGTATTTCAAGTGTTATGCAGACATAATGGACCAGAGGACTCAAACACTGTCTAATTCATCCTTATCCAGCTTGGTTGTAACTATTTTAAGTATCTATGTGTATATAAATATTAACTTC